ATGCACTTTATAGTGCATGTGCAATTCAAAGTGACATGGGCCAGGCTTAGGGTGGCAGCATGGGTGGCAGCATAGGGTGCAGGTGTAGATGGGAGGCATAGTGTAGGTGACAAGCATGCATGCTACGTGATAGGCCTATAAGGGATGTGCCATCCTAGTTGGCGCCTTAGGACAATTATATGAGGATTCACTATCCCAATTCGTGCCTCATTGTAAGTCAAATTTGTCTTGTTCGTCTCATCTGCACGTTATTTATTCTCCTGCATGCACCTTATGTTATCACCACTCAAACAAATTCTCACATACTCAAACACTCAAACATGCAAACACAATGTCCTCTGAAACACATTATGTTATTAGTGCACATTTCAATGGAGAGACGTAAAATTGTGATGTCTCTGGTTTTTTATTTAGAAACACTGATAACATCTGATTTTGTTTAAACCGAAAAGCAAATTTTTTGTATTTCACAAAACGACTGGAGCTCAAACTTGAACGAGGTCCAGTGTCACGCATCTTTTATCAAAATCTAGTTTTTTTTTGTGAGAACCAAATAATATTTTATAAGATAGAGGTTCAAGATGACAAGGACCTTCAAAATATATTTTCTAGTCATGAGTATTCTGGGTACGACTCGATTAAGTTGTACATTGTGTTGCAGGAGCCTTAGCTGTCACAACCAACTCAATCACAAGTGGTTAATCCTCTCGAAGACGAACAAGCAGAAGCAGATGTTATTGACGAAGAAGATGAAGATGAAGAGTTAGGTTTGACAACATGGTCAATGATGATTCTGAAGATGATGCGCTACCTGAAATACCTCCAAATGAAATCTACACACCACCTTCACACATGACAAACTTCAACATGGACGGAGATGAACCGTCATCAGATGTTTTTTTCAACCCGTATATGCAGTCAGATGAAAATTTAAAATAGAAAGACAAATTTCGTTCAAGAGAAGATTATATACGAGTTATAAAAAAGTTTCACATGTTAAACTCAGACAATTTTAAGGTAAATCGGGTCAATCCAGAAAGATACAAGCTCAAGTGTGTTCACCCAGATTGTATATTCAGGCTCGCTGCATCATACAGGTTGAGAAGTGATTGTTGGGTGATAGGTTTTATGTCCACCCACACGTGCGTTAATTCTACTCAATCACAAGATCATCGTAAACTAAATTATGATCTAATATGTCAAGAAATTCTACCTCTTGCCAGCAATGATCCGTCATTGAAGGTGAAAACCATAACCTTTCACATCACTACAGCATACAATTATACTTTGTCATACAGAAAGGTGTGGTTAGCAAAGACCAAGGTATTGGAAAAGGTATATGAAAACTGGGAGGAGTCATACAAAGAACTACTGCGCTACCTGCATGCACTTCAGACGTATGCTTCTGGAACTGTTTATGTTATGGAAACATTATCGGCGTATGCCCCATATGGTACTTCTGTCAACATAAACGGAATATTCAGTCGACTGATATGTGCTTTTCAACCTTGCAACACAAGGTTTGTGTCCTGTAAACCTATTATTCAGATAGATGGAATGTGGTTATACGAGAAATACAAAGGCACACTACTTATGGCAGTTGCACAAGATAGGAACAACAACATTTTCTCAATTTCCTTGCTTTAGTCGAGGGAGAGACTGGTGGTGCTTGGAGTTTCTTTCTCAAGAATCTATGAACACACGTGGCTCCATAACATGGTCTCTATTTGGTCTCCAACAGACATGCATCTATTGAGAGTGCATACAATAATCTTGTAAATGGTTGGCATGACCCTCCTTCTACGCATGTCTACTGCATTAGACATATTATACACAATTTCACGAGGGAGATCAAAGACGAGGCTCTTAGGAAAAAATTTATGAACGCGAGGTATGCATTAACACGACCTTCGTTCAAACACTACCGCAACGAGATCAGATTGTCAAATCCGGATACAGCTATGCGGATTGATAATATTCCAGTGGAGAAATGGACAAGGTCATACGACAATGGACAATGATGGGGCCACATGACAACAAATCTTATTGAATCAATGATTGGTGTATTCAAAGGCATACGAAATCTTCCCGTAACCGCTTTGGTGAAATCAACATATTTTAAGATGGCTTCGTTGTTTGCGAAAAGAGGTGAAATGTGGAACGCGGTCTTATAATCGGGATAACTGTGGAGTGAAAGATGCATAAAATATATTAAGGCAGAAGGTGTCAAAGCCAACATCGACCTTGTTATAAAGTTTGACCGACATAACCACGACTTCATTGTCAAAGAGATAATCGACCATAACGAGTGGCTGCCAAGACAAGAGTATAGGATTATACTACCATCTTATTGGTGCGATTGTGGAAAGTTTCAGGCCTTTCATATACCTTGCTCCCATGGCATTGTGGCATGTATGTATACTCATCAAGATGCATTACTACTTCTATCTCTCATTTACAAGTCCGAAACCTTGTTCAGCGTGTACAACAATGGTTTTCCAATGGTAGCGAAACCTAATTATTGATCTGCATACGAAGGGGAAATAATATGGCATAACGATCAAATGCAAAGGAATAAAAAGGGTCGTCCTAAAAGCAAACGTATCAGAACTGAAATAGACTCTCTTGACAAGTTAGGAAAAAATGTGGTTTATGCCATCAGGTCGGACACAATTGAAAAAATTGTCTCACTTGTGCTACAAGCTCGACAGCATAAAAATTGTATGCAAGCTATCTGCACTTTTTTAAGATCTAAACGTAACATTTTTTCATTAAGAGCATTTGTTACAATAAACCATACGCACACATCACCACCATTACGATAAAATACAACATGTAAATATAACATCAACAACACGATAAAACATCTAAAAAATTACAACCGCCAAAACAATTTCATTTGAGTCATGCATCATCACCATTACATCTCCGTCTGTTTTGACTTCCTCCAACCAAGATTGAGGTTTTCCTGTTACAAGTGAGGTGGTTGTTCTTCTTCTCTGAATCCTTCTAATTTGTTCCACAGCTTCGATGTCTCCCTCTAACCATCGCATCAACGCTCTCTTCAGATGGCTGAGAAAATAACGTACCCATCTCTGGTGAAAATCATAGGAGATGTCATTATGCAAAAAACAGAGAGGAAATGTGAAGAATGATGAAAAAATGAGTGTTATTTATAGAAAACACAATTGCACATACTAGCCATCTCAGATAGCGCATCCTCCCTATATTATAGTACATGCATCATCTCACATGACTAAAAGAAAGTGAGATGGCACTTAAGACAAAAAGGTAAGTGCATGCGCCAAGTGAGATGGAGCCTCTATTGATGTATATTCTAAAACATGATTGTTTAAGTAATTTTCTCTAAAACATGGCTATGTGTATTTTTTTTAATACATGGTTATTGCTAAAAAAAATCACATGAAAAGGTTATTTTCCTTATTTTCTTTTCGCTAACATCGGCTAGGAATTCCTTCTCACATGATTAGAAAATTTCTAATCGGGTTTAATAAAGCACTTAAGTAATCTGTTTAGGTTTATTCACTGCACTGCCCTGTAAAGATTTCCTACTATTACTACCAGTAGGAATACTGAACAAAAAGAGAATGTCATTTTATACCTAGGCTGGAGTAAAAACTTTCGTATTATTACACTTTAGTTAAAGACTTAAGTTCTATTATTATACTAGTTATATGCCTCACTTTTTAACGCTTTTCTGCTAAATTGTAAAAATTCAATGTTCTCATTATTATTTATATAGCTCTACTACTACCTAACATCATACAAGGGAAGCACTCATTCCGTCCTTCATAAACATGCTCTGGAGCACGGGAAAATGAATGACAGAAGAGACTAACTTTAACAGTCTCAGGTTCGTGATACTCGGCAGAGGCAAATGTTCAAGAGTTTTTGAGGTCATAAATGGCACAGAATAAGAGCTGTTCTACATCCACCCCAGGCAGAGTTTGAAGAAACAGGTTGAGTGGACAGGGAAACCTATAAAAAAAAAAGAGGAGTGTGTTCCTCAAGTAAAATTTGTTTCATTGGGTTATCAGCAAGCATAGAATTATAATTTTTACTCAGATTTGGTGTAAGACTTGACTTGCCAAATTTCAATGTATCCCTTCTCGAAATAAGATAATAATACCACACTATCTTTATCAAAAATTGGGTACTTCTCTAAAACCAAAACCAACTTTGTACATACTAAATAGTATTAAAGTCATATTTGTTGCATAAGAGAGTTCCAAATTCAAGATTAACAGATTCTGAACAAACAATTTCAGGAGTGAAGAAAACGTCAAATCTAGATGCCTATTTCACCATTCATATTTCCCACCAGTAATGTTTATATAGCTCCTTTTGTAGTTTCTTTTGTTTGATGACAAGTTTCTTGTAACCCAGTTAACTGCATAGATAGAGTAGAGGACAAGTTATATATCGAAACTGGTCATATAAAAAGAAAATTTTAAGGTGCAAACCGTGCAATTTTAGAGCAGCAACTTCAAATAGACAAGCACTGGCTTCATCCTGATGTTAGGCACATGCAAATAAAAGATATTGTCAAATTTCAAACTTAAAACTCACCATAATAACCACAAAGGTCAGTTCTCCCTGACATTTACCCCATAGAAAAAGTTGACATCATTTGCCGTCTGACAATCGTAATGCATAAACCCAGATTCCAGTGCTTTGCAGTGAAGCTAAGCAAACAAGAGTGGGTAAAGATTGCCTTTGACCATTTGATGGCAGAATTGTGATAAGGAATTCAGGATATCCTCGAGTTCCAAATAGATTTGAAACAAGTCTCAAGGTTCAGCCAGTCTGCCATAGTAAACACAATTTCAGCCAAATAAACGAATCTATTAACATTTTGAGACAGGTTTGATCCACATACTGCCATCGGAGAGCCTATTAGTGCATTGAAGGGAGAAATTGAACTATAGTTGAGACGCAATCACCACCATGAATATTAGTTGATCAGTCAAGTCAGGTGTTTAAAACTTGATATTCTCATAACTGGGCATGAAATTGTTATATCCCCCTATTTCATTATTCAATACTTCCGACATAGATAGGCCGCTGAAATACATGGAATCATTCCAACTTCCCCGCTGGTTATTTGAACTGAGAATATTACTACTGAACTGTTGAGAGCGCATTTGTTCAGAAAATGAAGGATTGTTAGACTGAAATTGATCAAGAAACCTTGAAGGAGTTCTATAAGCATCACTTTGAGAGGAAAACCTATTTCCAATATGATCTGAAAGTCTTAAATTCTGTGAAGCTAGAGATTGTTGCATTAACAACTTAAGTCTAGCATCATCTTCATTAGGACTAAATTGTGGAAGGAAAGTTTGCCTCGGGTTAAAAGGTGCACTATTCAGCCTTTCTTCCATTAGGCCCTTACTAGGGTCCAAGACCATAGGATTTTTGAATTCAGCATCTCCTATCCTGCCGATATTTACAGATGGAGGAGCATACTGCGGTTGCAAATGTTCAACTGGAAAATAAAAAATTTATTAGAAATTTCTCCATAAGTAGAAGATGAAGCTTAAAAGCAGAAATACACAGGAAAAAGTTAAAATAAGTCTAGTAATTGTTGAGCCATGAAAAAAGAGTTATACCAGAACTATTACAACTCTGTTCTACTCTCCCGCGTGAAAACCCAGGAGGTATTCTGCCTGACATTGAAAATCCAGGTGGACTTGAGGCATGAGCTTTTGCCCCTGATAAAAGACAACAAATGAAAATATCAGTTTGATCAAAGCTTAGTTCAACAGTGAAAAAAATTAACAATGAAGAATATTGATTTTAAAAGGAGACCTGATATGTCACAGTCAGGAGTAAATTATTATTTCAGTTTTAGTCATGAAAATTTCAGGATACACCAAGGGACAAACTTATACTCTAACCAACTAAGTATTAAAGATACATTTATTAATAAACTTGCCAAAAGACAAATATCTAACATTATCTAGAAAATAATTAATAGCATGAATTTAACACGACATTTATGACCAAAAAATATTTTCCAATTAATAAATTAATTCAAATGTTCTTCATATTATAGCTGCAGTTTTTAATAGGCTGTCACTGTACAGCTGAGGTCCTTAATTGGCAAATTTTAAAGTATAGCTCTTTAATTCACAACCACAGTAACGTTAATATTCATGAACACCACTTTTCTCTGACTGCAACATTGCCTGAATACAGTCAACCAAATAACTTAATCCAAAAATACACCCAAAATATATTTAGATAGGAATAACAGCAGCCAAAAAATAAAATAGAACTGCAGAAGAAAAATATAGCATCATACTTCCATTCACAAGCAAATAACAGAAATCCTATGGACAAATTATGCATACTAAATATATGGTAGACTCTGGGGATTAGAAGCACTAAATTCATTTTAAACCCAAAATTAACTACTTAATGAGCCAATGAACCAACTATTAAACAAAGCCATCATCTATATAGGCATGTGAAGTGCTTAAATTACTATGCTTCTCCATTAATTGACAAGTGAACGCGAAAGATAGAGGTGAGAAGAGATTTGTAGGATCTTTAAGAAGGCAAAGGGAAAAGGAGACGCAAATATAATAAATTGAACAAGCAGGGATACGGACATCAAGATCTATGCATACAAACCCAAAATAAAGTAGAAGACACTATGACAACACAGAAACATGAACGAAAAGAAAACAATAACCTCCGCACTAACAAAGATGAAGTACTTAAGTATATTGATTAATACTCACTGGAAAATTTTGTGGGCACCAATGACGGACTTCCATCAAATTTATCTGATAGCACAGAACTGCTTGATGTGAAAGCATATGGGTTTTTTACAGCGAACATATCATTATTTGCGTTATAACCACCAGATGGATAATTCCCTTTAGGTTCATGTTCGGTAATCCCAAATGATTGCTGCAAATCAGATGTCTTATTCAAGGAATCATCTTGTCTGGCAAAGGAAAACCTGGACTGATTCTTGTCTTGGATTTTCCGCAAAGCAGGAGCTTTGAAGGATGTGTATGGTTCATCAGTTTCATCCAACAAGTTAACTATTGAATCTTCCCATGCATCTAGTTCCAAAGACAAAATGTTGGATATAATGTTGTTTTCTCCAATGTCTGAAGCAACCTTGTTATCAACATTTGAACCAGTACCCTCACTCTCCACAATCTTCTCAAATCCTGCCCCCAATGCTTCAGTAATAGTTTCAGAAGGTTTCCTTAAATGATTCTGGTTAGAAATTTGATTTTGATGCTTTAGTTGATGGTTTGATTGGTTTAGATTCTGAGGATAATGAGGTGAATGATGCCCGGATGCTAAATTGTTAGTGCCTTGGCAGAATTGTTGTTGATCAAAATCTTTATTTAGCATATCATCCACAATGATATCTTCCCAAAAAGCTGGTGTGGTTGAATGATCTTTACAATATTCATTATCTTGACGGAAATGCTTCCCTAGAGAGGAATTGGTCGAGTTAGGAGTAAAAAGTAACCTGTCTGAATCACGAGTGAAATATGAATCTTTAAGATTACTGTTGATGCTAACAGATGATAACTCAGAACATAAGCCATGCAGATCCCGATTTGAAACTGCCTTGTTGGTATTCAAATTGTGAGGTCTTCCTGTCTCCGGGAAGCTTGTACTCGTTGAGGGTGCAGCCTTTTCTTGATCAAGGCCTACAAAAGCTGCTGAAGTTCTACGGTTAGACAATATAATGCCAGAAAGTTTCTTCACGGTAACCTCATTGATAACATTTGACTTACAATTTTGAGAATTCCCGCCAATGTGATGTTTGTTCAATGCTGAAGGTACAATTACACTATTGGAATGCACATCAGAGCTATTTTCATCTTCTCCCGATTCTTTCGTATCAAGAATAGACCTTTCGGTGCAAGCAACCCCCGGCATAAGGGCTTGGGGGCCATTAGATGCTTCAATCTTTTTCTTGGCCAGATTATTAGAACATGATGAACTAGTATCCTGCAGAAGACTACCAGATACACACCTAGCCCTAGCAGAATATACCTAAAAAGTCAGCATTCACACTAAAAAAATATAATGCTATTGGTGGATTAAGTCAGTTCATGGCGGCTAGATATAATATGGCTGAGGTGTTACAGCCTGTGGCAGAAGCATGCGGCTATGATGAAAAATATTACACTATTTTATTAAAGAAAAAATTGTAGAATATAACATAACAAAATAAATTCTGGAGCAAAAGAAAAAGAGAGACTAGCTAAACACGGAAGACAGTCATAGAATAGAAGACAGAAAAATGAAATAGGGTGAATATTATGCTAGCAGAATAGAACCTCAGAAGCACAATTTACAAACAAAAACAAAAACAAAAAAATAGAGAAAATATCTAGAACGTAATTAAATAAAATAAGAAAAAATAGGGAACTGCTAGGCAAGGAAGACAGTAATAGAATAGACGCTCCACAAAAAAAATATATAAAAAAGGATGAATACAAATGCTTGAAGAACAAAATCTTTGACTCAATTAACAAAACAAAGAAATAGAGAGGAAGAAATAGAAAAAACATAGAAAAAGGGGAATACAGAACAGAAAGGGAGGAAGAAAAACACAGCTTGCCCGTGCCAGATGTAAACCTATCACAAGATATACTTGAGAAACCAGAAGTCATTGGAGATGGGCTGTTCATGGGAGATGGGCCGTTCACCAGAGATGGGCAAATGAGAAATGACAGAGATGCATGGATGAGAGATGACAGAGACTCACAAGTGAGAGATGGTAAAAACATTCATAGGGATAGAGAGTGTCAAAAGGGTTTTAATTAGGGTTTAAAAACTGGCAGGGTCTATTCTTCCCATCTTTTTTTGTTTCTTTGTTGATTTCAGCACCTTTAACGAAGTATATGTGCCTGCCATGAAAAACACAGCTGGACTACCGTGCAAAACTAAATAATGCGAGAATACCACACAATTATAAATTAATTACCAAGAGTTCGCTGTGGGAAGTGCTGTTGAATTGGCAGCTCCATTGCTTGAAAAGGATCCCGTAATCTGGATCGAAATTTTCAGGATGGATAACATACAAGTGAGTTTAATAAAAATGTTAGTTAACTGCCTAAAAACTAAAAAAAACGGAAGAAAATTGAAGTATCATATCACCCACAATAAACAAGTTTACCACAAAAGTGATGTTCTTTAATACTTACATCTAAAGGACTTTTGGACACTACTTTGGTGGCTGATGGTATCTGTCTAGGTTCATCTGGTGGTGGAGGTAAAACACTCCCTGAACGGCGATGCAAATTATTTGTAGCACCAATGATTTGTAGGACTCTACTCCTTTAACATCCAAATATACACAAGTAAAACTACTATCAAAGCGGATATAACTCAAACATTAAAAAAGAAAGAATAGAATAGTCAAAAACAATATTATGTCTAACTAGGAGGAGAATGCAATCCAAAACTAATATTAATAAAAAGATGTCATACAGGAAGAAAGTAAAAAAACTATGGAACCAGAACACACTGCCTGTTTGAAATATTTGTGGAAATTATGGAGAAACCTAAATGACTATGTTATGCAAGATGTAGGATTTTTATACAATTTGAAAATTGAAAGCAATCAGCCAGCAAAAGGTCTAGTACCTGTTTGACATATTTGTGGAAATTATGGAGAAACCTAAACAACTACGCCATGCAAGAAGTAGATTTTTATACTATATGAAAAAATGAATGAACCAACCAGCAGAGGGTCTAAGACCAGAGAAGTAAAAACACATTGATGTGTAAGCATTAGGATTTGAACTCCCAAATGAATACATGATATGGTTAAAAGACTACCAGATGAGGCTTATATAAGCAAGGCAGCAAATTCAAAAGTTTAAATTGGAGAGATAGTGTACATGAGTTGAGAGCCATCATACCTTGCAAATGCTAATACTAATTCATCCTTGGTAAAGCTATCTTCGTTAGCACCGTGATCATGTAGATATAAGCATTCTCTATTGCTGCAAGGCTGAAGCGGCAAGATAATTTATAGAGTATGTGAGGAAACCACCTATTACTAAGGTCTATATTAGGATACAGCAGAAAGGAAATCAGGGCGAATTGAATAATTAACGAAGAAGATTGCATGGGAGACAACCAAGGTACACATAGTAATTTACGTAAGGAAAGAATTGAGTGATTTGGGCAACAAAATAAAAGGGAATAATATGGGGGCATAAATACGTTAGGGGGGGAGAAAAAGGCAGGGAATGAGTATTCCTACAAGTCAGTAAAGGAATGTGAATAGTTTCTCAACTACTCTGTGTTATCCATTGTACAAAGTTTGATCCAATTTCAAACGTAGTATCATAAAACTGTAATTATGTATGATAAAACAACAATCATAGGTTCAGCTTAGAGTGTCTACTTTACCACATTTCTGAGCCATGCATGGCAATACTTTGTGGTTCCAAAACAAGCCCTGCAAATAAAAATAACCACCAATCATCACAAGATCATGAAAGCCTCACAAGTCACAACTCAACCAAAATGGTATATCCTTACCTCAATGATCTACCTTCTAATACAAAAAAATGAACTGATTGAATGCATCGAACAGCTTCAGATTCTTTTGAGTAAGTTATATACCTAAAGATACGAAATTTTAATTCAATGAATACAAAACAGCTATAGGAACAGACTGCAAGTTCCAGCCTTCAAAAGTTACATCATAATTACATAAAGAAGATAACTACATAAACAACAGAGACTGTAATTTTCTACTTGAACAACACTATGGTAGCTGCTGCGTAAGAGATATTCATAACAACTTACACACAACAGCTGTTGTTTGCAGAATGTTGAATAATGCCTGTTGCTGTACGAGATATTGACACCTTCAAAACCTTGCCATATCTTCCAAAGTACTCCCTACGCTGAAGTAACTGGTATAATCCAAGAAAGATGTTATCAATTGAAAGAAAAAGTGGTTAAGATGATCTACAATTTAAAATACACAAAAACTAATATGAAATGTGCCTGCCATGCTCGACACAGTTGCATCTAGCAATAGTTAGAGACAGAACAGCATTGAAGAACTCACATCTTCATCTGCAAGGTTAAGAGGCAGTCCAATTATGTACACAAGGTTGCGCTGAATGACTCTAACATCAGTAAGATGTTTCCTTCCATCCGATGATTTAGGCTTTACCTTCTGTAGCTTCTTTTTATGCTGTGAATTCATTTCAGCAATCAATCTGGTAAAGCAAGGAAAGCATGTCATTGTTACCTAACAATGGCATAATAATAAATATTTTAATATAAAACAAGAAATTCAACTCATAACTCAAACCTTCGACAGTTAGCTGCCATTGCCACAATGCGCTCTTTGTCATAAGCTGAACGGCAGGCAGGACAACGGCCCTCAGTTTCATCCTTCTGTGCCATTTCCATTATATGATGCCAGCACCACACACAGATCTGTAAAAAGAGAAAGATTGAAAATTAACAAATATTGAAACTGTTTTGCTTTTATTGTTTATAAATGAAGATCTGCTAAACAGGTTTTTCGAATTTTGAACCCAAATGTAGCTCGTCAAATAGGGTTTGCTCAGTCTTAAACAACAAAAATAGTTTTCTTTAAGAAAACGCAATATGTATTCAGCGAAATGTGAAATTCCTGACAGTTTTAATTCTAACTTTTTATTTTCGTATCACGAGATTGATTGAGGCATATGGATAATACATATTAATTTGATCAAGCATAAAACAAGAATGTTCAACCAAAAAATTTAGGGACCATGTCGAGTAAGAAAATAGAAGAGTTATATGCAAATTAATTCTTATTCCTTAGGTAAATAAACTAGCAAAACCTCATAGCCACATTTGCATGGTTTCAGGTGCTGATCGGTCAGGTCCATCTCCTCGGTGCAAATCGGACATGATTTTCCTCCTTTGTCACCCATTGTTGTCCAGGATATTCAGCTACACAAAAAAAGTAATGAAATATTAAATAAAACACTAGAGAAATAAAGAAAAGAACTGGAAAAAAAAAACTCATCCGCAAATGAAAAACCTACTCAGAATGTACCATTCCAAGTGAAGCTCGGCGGTAAAAAGCACATTAACATTTAACCAATAAATAAGAACAAGCACAAATATGAATTTCATTTCTATGTGAAAACTACATCCTTCTTCATGTTCAACCAAACGACGGTTACAGCATAACATTTGCAACCAAAAAATCAACTAATTAAGCTTCAACAATCGTTAAAAACACTAAAGAAATAAATAAATAAAACCTAGAAGAAACGAACGTTCCTCACACTCTGACAACATTTACAATAAGCGAAAAAATCAGCGCAAAATAACCAGTGATAATTTCATCAGGCTCAAATCACGAAAAGCATAACAAAAACATAGATTACATTGTGATTAACTCAAACGTAACTAAGCATGAAGTACAAAAACGAAGTTCAATCGAAAATCGAAGAGCGTAACCCTAAGAAACGAAGGAAAAAGCGAAATGTAAGCATAGATTGAAACGTGAATTGAAAAGAGCGATGAACGAGAGTTAGGGTTTAGAGCGAAGAGCTTACGGTGAGAGCAGAGAGAAGAGAGAACAGAGACAGAGCAATGTGTGAGTGAAGTGAGTGAGAGAGAGAGAGAGAGAAAGAGTGAAGGATAAAGCACGATAATAGAAGAGAACGATAACGAGAGACGGTAAACATGTACTCGTTATTGTATTTTGTACGTGAAAAATTCCCGTGTTTGGAAAAGGCTTTTTTACCTTTATCGGTTACAATTTTTGTACTATTAGCTTAAAATTATCGATTAATTTGTTATTTGGGACAAACGCAACCTTATGGCAAGTTTTTTTTATAATTTTAGGGAAAACTTATGAGTAACTCAAACTCATTCTAGGTTCAATTTTATGCGGAGAAATTTGTATAACTACATGTTTTGTTTTGAAGACAAAAATGAAATTTGAATGAATTAGGTTTATTTGAAATGAATTTTGAATGAATTAGGTTTATTTGAAAATGAATTAAATGTGAAATTAATTATCTTTAAAAGGTGAGTTGAATGTTAAATTATATTGTGAAGATTTGTTTTAAATTACCAACTACATATTTTTATTTTAAGTTATAATTAAGTTTTAAGGCGAAATTTATTTTATTCAAGATAAATCAAATATATTGGCATCAATGTTATACATTAAATATCAATTTTAACATGAAGAAGACATGACACAACAATATATTCTTAAAATAACTATTGATAGAGCAAGAAGTATTATAGATTGTGCTTTTTTTTATCTAAATGTCATAAATACGTGTGTCATAAGACAAGAGATCAGAATAGTTAATTTGAGTTCAAATCAATGATGGTTTAGATGATGCGAGCTATTGGTTACGATTTAGGTGTCATAATAGATGATTCACACTTATAGTGGAAACAATTCCTTTAAGTTGCAAGTAATTTTCATATTTGTGGAGTAATTGATTATGCTTTTAGACTTATATTGTTTCCATATTCTCTAAGGGACAGAGGTAAGAGATGGCTCAATTCTTTAGAACTTAATTTCATATCCACATTGAATGATTTGGCTTACATATTTCTAACTAAGTATTATTCTCCCGTGAAAAATATAAAAATGACAAATGAAATCACCTCATTTAGGCAAGGAGAGGATGAATCATTATTTGATTTTTAGAAAATATTAAAGAAGTTGCTAACTCCTTGTGAGTAGGCTCTACAGTCTTCACCAGTTAAAATGCCTGGTTAAAGAAATGGTCGATGAGCTTCAGGGGAAGCAAGGCATGTTAGAACAAGATTTAGTTTTGCAACTTTATCTCTGAGTTTTTATAATAATGAATGTGTTGTACCGCAAAATTTACTCTCTCTTTTTCAAGATATTCCTCACAAAGGATCTCCAATGCTCAAGGATTCTCAAGGAATTGACAGACAAAATCACATTCGAAGCACTGAGACTCCAAATTAGGGTTTTGACTAAGAACGACTGATCATTGACTTTTTGACCTAATATATGACCTAATGGCTTGAAGCATAATCTCAAAGACTCACACATAACATGTTGACCTAATTTTATGGCTTAAATCATATCTCAAGATCAGTGGATTGATAGTTGAAATTTGCTCAACTGACGAAAAGTCAACTGATACACCAAAAGTTAAACGTTAACTTTTTGGTCAATATTAAGTTTTAAAGATCAAATTCATCAAGACATTCAAGAATATCAAGCTTGATCGTCAAGAAGTCAAGAAAGTCAAAATTCAATTTGAAAAGTCAAACTTTTCAAGACTTAGAAATTTTTTCTAAGTGTTTTTTTATATACATGTTAATTTCATTACTTCTTAATTCAAGTTGTTACAAGTTTTCAAGCAAACAACAAGGCTGCATTTTTAAGTTAAAAATTGCAAGTTACAAATCTTAAGCTTTGTCTTGTTTGAACTTTTCCCTTTGACTCAATCTTCAAACCTTGCCACTATGCTATCCACAAATATGCATTGTCTTTGTTACAAGTTGCATAAATCTGTCCACAAAACTATACTTGTATCATGCTACAAATGTTGTTGTCTAGAAAAGCCCCAAAATTAGATATGCTGCCAAGTCTAAGTCTGCTGCTACTAGCCCAAAACCATGTCAAAAAATAGTTTGTTGTCCTGTACAAAACAACCCTGCTATGCTGCCTTTAACCATGTCCAAGCCTGCACTATATCAGTCCCATATTTGCATAAAGTTAGCACATAAGAGCTGCATCTAAAAAGCAATAAAACAGTATACCCAAAGAGTTCAAAAAACATATCTATTTCCCTCCCAAATTTTAGTCAATTTCATCTATAAATAAGTTATCTCACAACACACAAAGGGCATAGTTCTTTTTTGGAAGGAGAGAGAAGAAAGGTTTTTAGAAAGAGAGAAGAGAGAGTTTTGAAAAATCTAACAAAAATTTTTGTAACCTCTGCTCATCTTCAGCTCTATCTTCATTCACAAAAACAAAACCTCAACCCACTGTACAACCTTGCAAGTTTCCCCATAAACATCACTATTTTCCAAACTTAAAAACAACCACCTCCAACTTACTTTCTCCAAGACAACAACTCAAACTCAAAACACAAATTTCAGTTTCAAGGTAAGTCTTCTTGACTTTGAGATCTTCATTTCAAACATCATTAGTGATTCATTTTTGAAGATAAATGTAGATATCATAGCCTTGAAGCTAACCATATGCTTTATTTTCATTTTTATCAATTATATGTTAAGAATTGACTTGTACATGTAACAGAACAATATTAGAAGTGAAAAAATAGGTTATGAGTCGATGCATATCTCTATGTGTCGACACATATATGGTGTAAAATAGGTTATGGATCGACACAAAATACGAATGAGTCGATAGAAAGCAGAAATATGTCGATACAAACCATTATGTGTCGACTCATACTGAGTTGCTTTTGATTTCCAGAGGCAGAAAATGAGTATGAGTCGATACAAAACACACATGAGTCGATATAAAACAGGTTATGAGTCGATACAAACCATTATGTGTCGACTCATACTGGGTTGTTTTTAACTTCTAGGGGCAAGAAAAGATATGTATCGATGCAAACCATCATGTGTCAATACATAAAAAAATTAATTTTTTATCTTTTACATTCTTGCATACTATTTATTCATTCAATATGGTTGTAATAATACAATTAGGTCTTATTTGCTTTTACCTCCCCATTTGTAAACTTGTACCCCCATCCCCTAAAGTGATGTAATAGCGTAGGATTTTAATTTCCGCAATTTATCATTTTTTTTATAATTGTTAGTAATTAGGGTATGTATGGTAAGATAAAATCAACTGTTAGAAAACCCTAATCTCAAAACAAAAAAATTCATGCAATCAAACACTTTTCACACACGCACCTCTAAGGTAATCTCGTTTGTTGCCTACGAATAAATAGTCATGTCCCTCGAATATGGGACGCTTTAGCAAAGACCCTCGATAAAAAAGATCATAGTCCCTCGACGATCCTTTGACGTTGCCTTTGGTAAAACGATCTTAGTCCCTTACGACAATTGCTAAAGCGTCTCATAAGTTGCCTTCTATGACTATACGACGACCCATGTCCGTCCCTTCACATCCAATAATAGGGCTTCTTATCAATCAATGGTAAAATAGCAATATCTAAAGGAGGAGGAAAAGAACCAAGACCCTTTTGAGTAGGTAGAACGTTCATAGTTGCTTGCTCACAACATTTTCAAAACAACATCTTTCGAAACACACCAACACTTTCAAAATGAAATATTTTTCAAAAGTCAACACTTTGTATACATTCTTATAGAGATGAAAATCATTACAAAGTTTGCCTAAATGAAAGAACTTTTCAAAAATACTTTCAAAACCAATCATAAACACATTTTAAACAAGACATCTTTTAAAAATGAGCTAGCAACTAAGAGCCCGTAGATAATATAGATGAAAAGGTGTTAACACCTTCCCTTTTCATAACCTACCCCCCGAACTCAAGAAAAAATCTCAAAAGATCTTTCCTGTTCTTTTCACCCTTTCCTTTATTGGATAAAAGAAAAGTCGGTGGCAACTCTTGTTGTTCGTAATAATTGAGATAAAACGCAAAACACCCAAGTCAGTTCTTCCACTGTATTACAGAACTGGCAAATCTGCTGGGGAAAATACTTTATGAAGCGGGGTTACCTTAGAGACTAGATCACCTTTAAATGCTTTCATTGTTTGATTTGTTTGCTTTATATTTTGGGTCATTGTTTGGGTTTTATATTGATCCTCTACCCGGATCTGGGAACATTATTAGGTAAGTAGCAATAGATCGTGGAGACTGTGCAGCATATACTGACATGGTTGAAGCGATGGCTACGTTAGTGTGACACATTTGTTGGTAATGATATCCCTTGAGTCCAATCAAGGAGAATACAG